TGGATTTTGCGATAAAAAATTCAATTTTTGCAAAATTGCAATTTTTTTTGCAGATTCTAAAAGTAGAGCACAAGAGCTTTCTAATGATGTATCATTTGTCATATTTGGACATAAAACATGGGATTTAGAGGGGGGGGGGTCAAATTGGCCCCCCCCCCAGCATATCCTGGTTTTCAAGTACCCCAGCAGGGATAGGGTTGACTTATTATTTATTTCACTAGAGGTGAAAAGTGGCTTTCAAGGATAGAGGGCCGATTTTATCCGAGGACACCTCCGCTTCTCATACCAAGAAAGAAGAGGGATCCGAATAAAAAAAGCCAAAGGATGGGCTATTACGAGATTATCAACCCTGCCTGAATCCTAATATTAGAAAGATGAATAGTTTCAACAAATTTATTGAAAGAATAATGATTATTAAGGGGGTGGGGGGTGGAGGGAGGGAGGGCAAACTCGGATTCATTTTTACTTGATGGTTCCAGAATACGGAAAAAAAAATTGATCAGGGATGGGGAAGGGAGAAACATTGAAAAAAGGGAAAGAGACTAGGAGAAAGTTTTACGTGACTGTTAAGTTAGGTTTAAGCAAGAAAAGGGGTATACATTATATATTATACAAATAAGAAATCTTGAATAGAAATAGACAAGACATAAATGCAGTAAATACAAAAATAAAAGGATAAATGTATTTTTTGCTGTTTAGTATACCTGTACTGCGGTTGTTCTCCGCTTGTTCCTTCTGCTTCTACGTAAGCCTATGTTTCACAAAATTATTGATTCCTGTGACCGAATTTAATGAATTTGAGCCGCGTCTTAAATCCGCTAAAAACCAGTTTCAATTGAGCGCCGGCTTGAATCTTGAAACATTAAATACAATTTTAAATGAAGCCGCGGCTTAAACTTAGGCCGCCGCTCAAATTCTTTAAATTCGGCCTCTGGTTATTTGGTTTCATATTTAAGATGTTTTGCTCGAAGTCTTAGAAAATAAAAAATGTAATTAATTTAATGTATTAATTTCAGGCACTTTAAAAATCAATTAAAAAAATAACCTGGCGTTAAGCTTCAACATATTATAGAACGGTAATCAACAAAGGACCATTTTAACTTTTTAAGACATATCAAGTTTTTCGGCTTCTGAGATGAAATCATATTTCAAAAATGCATGCTTGACAGTTTCTTTTATTACATTATGCAAAGATGATGAAAGATATTTACCCAAACGATTTTTTAAAATGGTTAGAATAATCGTTTTCCGTTTTTAATAATATCTTTTATCAGAGAAAATATTCGCATGATGTAATAAAAAGCAACTTACGGAGAACTCAATTTTGCAATTCACATCTTCGTGGAATACTTTAAACTTCAATAAACCCTAACTGTCTCAAAACTGACGCCTCAAAAAGATGCCCATTAGTATTTTTTTCAGGGGGGACGGCCTAAAGTCTGTGCTACTTTCCACTTAAAATGACAATGGGACCGAATTTTTGAGTAATATAAAAGATCAACTTTAATTCATAATTTTATGTTCCTTTGCGGCTTCTTCCCTTTCCCTTTCCTTGTCCTTCTTTTTCTTCTTTTTCTTTATCGTTGGATCCACGCCTTAAACAATCAATAAAAACAAAATTGTTTTAAACAAATTTAGTTCAGAACATGAGCTCGCTTTATCTACCAAAATTAATAAATTTAATGTTTTAAGATGTAAGATTTTTAAAACATATTTTTAAAAATCAGTAGTATGCAAATTGTAAAAAAATATCCGAAAGTGAAATGAAAAAACTCACCCTTCAGCTTGAGTGTAGACTTTGATACAACAGCATATTCTGACATTGTCTATTCTGAAAAATATATGAATTAATGTAAATGCATAAATTATAAATTACAAATTTTTATCACTTTCACTTTTTTGAGGATCAAAAAGTGCAGAATCTTTAAGAGAAAACTTGAATAAAATTTGTTTTCACAGCCTGTATAGTTTATGAAAACTAACTTGCAGAAATAGTTGTTTAAAAAATACAAATATGTTTTTTTCTGAACATTTGTTTAATATTATCATCTGACTGGACAAGGTGGATTTCAAAATAACATGAGAAAATAAATTAATTACTGGTCTCAAATACCAGAATTTGCTTTCAGCTTGCGTGGATACTCTTCGTAAATCCTGGAATAAGTAAAATGAGCGTATAAAAAAAGCTGAGAAAATTTTGAATTGAGACTTGTTTATTTTAACTTAACATCAAACAAACAAAAAATATGTCAATTACAATTGAAGAATTTCAGCAACTTAATATTATATTTATATTAATGAGAAAATCTTTTGACGATAGTTTAAATTTCTACAAACCTATGTATCAAATAGATCTATTGAAAAGCAATCCTATTTAAATGTTTCTTGTGCCCAAAGAAAAGGGAAAATGTGTCGTATCTTTATGGTTCCACTAAAATTACCAAATCTACAGGTTCTACAGTATTCCAAGGTTGACAGTCAACCTCTCCATATCCGAGGAAATCTGAGGAGAGAAGGAAGTACTCACATTCATCCACTGAACATTTACAAGACGTTCACAATATATATATTCTTGTCATTGAATATTGCAAATAAAAATATAATAACTATTAGACTTGCTTAAAAAGAAACAAAAAAACTATAATTTTTTAATGATATAGTAGTTTCAATTTGATCCAAAAAAAATTCAAGTATTTAGATGCCTACCTTTACGTTTCTTCTTTGACATCTATGGAGAACTCTTCAAAGAGAGGTTCCTCAGGATTCAAGTCTGTTAAAATGGGTTTAATTTCATCCTTGGGATAGTTATCAATTTGATCCTCAAGATTTTCCTCTTCCAAGTTGTGCAAAGGTGATCTGGAAGTTAAATCTTCATTAAGACCATCATTTTCACAAGAGTAAAACTCGGTGTTAATTTCCATATTTTCCAGAAATCTTCCTCGGAACATAACAAGTTTTTTTATGTACTTGAGGCGCTCACACATAAACTTCTTTGTATTTGAATCACCATAGTTTATCAGTTTGCTAAATTCAGGGAAATCAGGATCATCCCCCAGTTCCCTCCAGAGATCATCATGTTCAGTCATCCCAAAGTCAAGCAAACCATGATGAGATGCACCAATAAGAAGCTTGCTGTCTAGATCCATGCTCCATGTTTCAGGAATATCATCAACAGGAGGTCTTGCTATGTCCTCCCAAGCCATAGTAGTTGCTTGGTCATTCCATTCTTTTGGAATCTCCCATAACATTCCATCTCTTTTCAACTTAGGCAAAGCATCTGAAACAGCTTGTATACCTTCTTCCTTAATGTTTTCAAGAGTAGATTTTGGTAGCATTTGGAGACATCCTGTGGCTCCATATTTTGTATAACATCTGTTTATAAGTATTAGTAGCTCTAGAATCTCTTCTTCAGAAAGGCTGGAGTGAGCCCTGGTTATTATTTGATTTAATGAGAAAGGTGCCTTCACATGTCTCATTTCACCAAAGTCTTCAACTTCTATTAATTTCAATATTTCTTCTTCGTATGCCACTATAAGAGATATTAATTTTGAAAAAGTTTGCTTTCCCAAAATTTCAAGAAGTCGAAAGTGTTTACTTGCTCTTGCATCAGCTATGAGCACTGTAAGGAAGAGGATTTCTTCAGCATGATTTACGGTCCCATGAAATACTTTGACATCATTATAAGATATGTATCCATATTCAACAATAGGAACTTCCAATTCTTCGTCAGTCCACACAGCAGTAGCAAGGTAGTCAAAATTTGTATTTTCAGCTAACAGAAGAGCATTCATGAAGACTTTCTGTTTTTCTTTTAACTCTCCTTTGGACTGAGTGATATACAGTGCATTACCAGAGACTCCTAAATGTTCCATCTTCAGAATGATAACATGCTGATTTGACTCTACATCTGTTGTGCACTTCACAATTTCAACTAGAAACTTCTTCAGTGAGCATGGTTTCCAGAACTTTGACAAATCTACTTTATTTATGAACTCCTGCACAACCAGTTTCCTTGAAGTGAAATCTGCAGTTTCCCTTGCTTTCTTAACCCAGTCATCATTTTGAACTTCAGCCATGAATTTCTGTTTCATCAGTTGAGATCCATCAGAATATGCCATGGTTGCAACAAAAACATGATGTAGACTGCTTGTTAAAGCTATTGCATGAAAAGCAACAGGATAGCCAATAGAAAGGTTTATTGTACTATCTTCAGAACTAATCAAATCAAAGGAGAGAAATGCAAAACAATTCAGAGTGGCTTCACTTGATTTCATTTCAAACTTTATCAAAGCCATTGCATCTGACTTAAATAACACAACCCCTGTCTTGTTTGCTACATGATCAGGCAGATCTGTGGTAAAATTGACAGACTGGTTTTCCTCCTCAATTTTTAGACCTACTTCAATATTAGTGAGGTTTGCTTGTAATTTATCTTTCAGCTCCTTAGTCCTTGAAAAAAGAGAGGTTATCTTCTCCACAATACTTATCTCAGTTTCAGAGAATGTATGGTTTTGCACTATTCTTGCAACAATTCTGAAGTTGCATATCTTTTCCTGGTCAACAGTTTTAAGAGAACTTATTCTAGCAGCACTCTCAGGAATTTCCTTGGAATCCAAATCATCCCAACTGTCACCCACTATGACAGCACTTGCTAAATATGGTTGATCCTTATTATCAAAAACTTGAATAGCATTAAGCTTTACAAAACTTCCCTGTCGAACAATGCTGCTCAATTTGAAATTCGTACTTCTGGATGAATTTTCATCTGAGCAGAGGTCACATACATCAAAAACAACCAAATGTGTGTCTGATGCTTTCTTTTTAGGATTTTTAACAACAGCAACAGCATAGTTATCATCTAAAACTTTGACAACTTGTCCTTTAATGTTTTGCATAATAGAATCAGTTCCTTTGTTGGATTCTAAATCCTTCTCTAAATAGAGAGTCTTCTGGTTTCGAACACTGGAGGCTTTCTCTTCTTTGATTTCTATTCCAGTTCCTTGGTTGCTGATATTAGTCACAACAGTAACATTAGTTTTAGATTTTACCCCATCTGTTTCAGCATAGTTCACATTAATGGTTTTTGACTTTGCTGAGGAATTCTTAATTAGATCCAAACTCTTGTCAATACATACTTTGTCCTGATTGGAAATACTCCTTCTTTCAGGAACAACACTATTTGAGTTGGTCTGATCTTTATCCCTACTTTCTAGTTCTACCAATCTCCCATTCAAGTCTGTTGATTCAATGATTCTGGGAAGAGTAACATTGCTTACAGTGGGGCAGTCTATTTTCATTATGTTTTCATGTTTATCCTCAGCTTTCTTGCTTGTGATTACTCTTTCCACTAATGATATTTTGTCTGAATTAAAAGACAGAAGCTGTTCAAGCTTTTCAATCTTTTCTGATTCAGGATGCATTCCTGAAGCAATTGGAATGTTGTGATGTTTATCAAGTCTAATATTTTCATTCCATAGCTTGGTGGTAATATAGGGAACTCTATGTTCATGATTCCAAAGGACAAAATGTCCTCTAAACAAATCTCTGGAGTTAACAGGAATGAAATCTGCAAGATCATGTTCCACATTTCCTACTTCACCAAAACCTTCAAGACAAGATAGATCAAAATATGCGAAACATTTGACAAATGTTCCAGGCATTATGAATTGAACAACACCACTTTTAGCAATTAACCCTTCCCTATGCAACGAAGTTGGCTTGCAATAGACTGATTTCATTAATGTGGGGAGTGAACTGGAGCTTTTGGACTTCAGCAGTATGTTTTCATCAAGATGTCCATAAATAATTCGGCTGGAAAGATTAGTGTCAACAAGTAGAAGACCAGTAATTTTTTTCTCCTCTTCACAAATGTTGACTGAATTCCATAAGCAATTTACTGATTCACAGTATCTATTCATTAGCTTTGTCAAATCAAGATACTTCTGAAGCTTCCTGTCCAGATGGCATTTGAGTGTGTAGTTCATGTAGCAATAAGATAATCCATCATTGTTTGTAGAAAAAGACTTAACGCTTGAATGAAGTGATGTTGGTTGAGGAACACTCTTAGGCGGCTTGTTTTCATGTTTGTTCTTCAGGCAGACTACAATGGCTTGCAGCAAAGGCTTTCTATGCCATTTGCCAACTTTTCTCATATCCATTGAAATATTGTCAACAGTTTCAGTAAATAAACCATTACAAATAGATCTAGCTATCAGGTTGACTTCACAGTTCACAAGAGATTTAAGTGACTGTTGCTCTGATATGGTATTACCATGATCATCATATACATCTTGTATATCAAATAATGCATAAAGTTCATTTATTCTGAATGAAGAAGGTAACTTAACTTTGATAATACCGATAGTTGAATTAACTTGTTTGTCAACAGTGGCTGTCCATTTCTGTGGGAGACCATTTATTAAAACAGAAACAAATGGAAAATCTTTCTCACCAGGATTTAGGTCTAACCTAGCCAATGTTTTGAAACTGTTGTATTGGTTCTCCAAGGACATGAGTAATTTGTTCTTCTGTTTGTTTGATTTAAATTTTTCCTGAAAACTCTTGAGAGCTCCATTTGAATCAGTAGTTGATGGCCAGGCAGCTATTGCTTGATATCTAAGCTGAGATGGTCTACTAAAAGGAATTTGCCTTGCTGTGAAGGTAACCTGGCTACCCACAGGAAGAGAGGTTTGCAACATTTGAGTCTGCTTGTCTTTGAATAATTCCCAACCTTCTTTCTTGACCCAAATCTCATTAAGATGAAAGAGTACAACTTCATTACTGTTTTTTAGTCTTATGAAACCAACCTCATCACTGAAATATTCTTTGACACTTCCCGTTACCTCCTTCAGAGATTTCAGCAAAGAGATGCCAAGTTTATTCTTCTTGGGATTTTTAAGAGATTTCAACTGGAAGTGAAGCTCATCTTTTAAAGGAGGATAACTTTGAATTCCTGGAATACCACTTCCATCTTTCCACAAAGCAATAACCTGAAACTGTTCATCATATCCAATAATTCTCCGTACAATGCATTGAACTTGGCAACTTTCAGGGAAGTCAATCTTCAGAGACTTAGTTGGAAAAATTTCTCTCAGTAGTTTAAATTTGTTAATGTGCCAGACCCAAACTTGATTTAAATGAAAATATGCATAACCTGAGTCTACATCCTTCTTGCTCTTTAAAAAAACAAGTCCATTGTTATCCTGAGAATAGGACAATATAATTCCTTCAATGACATCCTTGTTGATGTTCAAGTCCCTTGAATGTTTTTTTGATTCTTTGATTTTATGTTTTTTCTTCATCTTTGTATTCATAACATTAATTTTCAAACATTCTACAGAAGAAGAGGAATCATTATCCTTTCTTGTGGGATTTTTTGAATCTAGATCTAGTTCTTCATCATCAGATAGAACTATTGTCTGAACCTCTGATTTTCTTTTGTCCTCCTTTACAGACAACTGTTTCAATAACTTTAATGATACTTGGTTGGTTAACCTGTAGTAAGCCTCAACTTCAACTTCATCCAAATCGGCTAATATTTTAGATTTAAAAGTATCAGGTACATCAAACCCTTCCTCCCAAACATTGGTAGCAGCATAGGGAATTTGTTCACTAGTAGTCATAAGACGGGCATTAACACAAAAAGTTTTCCCAGCTACTAATCTCTTGAATGCAAGAGAGCAAAGTTGCTCTTTAAAATGCACATCCTTGAAGAAAAACAAGCAATAGGCTTTCCTTCCATCCCCTCCCTCAAGATTAAGAACTCCACACTTCAGTTTATCAATTATCAGTACAATTTTACCTTTAATTTCATATAATTTGGTAGGGTATTCAAATTCTAATATTTTGTCAGGTTTGCCAGATGATTTGTAGCATGAACCTTCTTCCTTATTAAAGGCTCCAGCACTTGTTTGTCTAGATTTATGCTTTGAGCCAATAAAATGTCTGTTATAATTCTTTTCAATAACCGAATGTGAGTCTTTATAGTGTGAAGTATTGGTTTTCTGTAAACTTCTTCTTTTTCTTTCAATGGTTGTAGGACTTGCACTCTTAATTCTTTTCCTGGATTGTTTTGTAGAAACATCTTTATCAGATCTTGTAATTTCAATTGGACTCCTATTTCTTAATTGTGTGAGGTGTTCATAACTAAGATCATCATTTGATAAATATTGTTCATGCCTCTTGTTTTCATACTTAAGCCTGGTTGACTGGGAAATATCTGGACTTCTATTTGTTAGATATCTTGAGCTTTTCCAATTTCCAGCCATACTATCTCTGATGAGAAAATATAACTTTCAAGGTTATTTTGCTTTTAAAAAATCACAGACAAAAAGCAGAATCAATCAATGAACCCTGCCCTCTTGAAGAAAGAAATATCTTGTTTAATATTATGACAAAATGCAACCAAAAAAAAATCCCTTGTCAAGACATATTTTCCTGGCAGAATGAGAGGAGGACCCGAGATGATGGTTGGATACAACAGGAATCTAAAGATAATTTCAGTTAATTTAAATTACATCACTACTTGATTTGAAAACAATTCATAAGTCAGTACTTAGGATTAAGATCTATTGGATCCACAATATTTTGGCTTCCTGGATCGAGATCCAGCGATCAAGATATCAACCAAAACTGTTACTTTCAACCCACAAATTTCAAACTAATGAGATTACAAAAATAAAAACTTCCAAATCTCTGAATAATCCCTCAAGTTTAATGCAAATCAATCTGGAAAGAAATAAAAAAATTTGAAATTTTTTTGTTTAAAACATTCATGACTTGATCAAGGTCTGGTCCAGTTTTGCTTGGATCCAGACATATATTTTTCCGGGCTGATCCAGTATTTGGATCCAGTTCAGATCAAAATGAAATGGATCCTAAGCACTGTAATAAAAAGAATTTTTGCAGTTAATATTTCTTTTTATTTCTTTCCAATGAACATTTAGGCATGAAAACCCAGCCACATTTAAAATTAAATTACTTATGAGGGAATTTAGTCTATATAAAAGTGCATCACTTCATTGGTAAAAGTAAAAATAAAAATGCATGCAGGAATAAAAAAACAGGAAAAACTTTAAGAGATTCTTTCATAAAATATTCATATGATTTCAGTCTACTTTTGAAAAAAAAAATAATTCTGTTCCAAACTTTTACTACCCAATTATTTGGAATTATATAGAAGTATGCAGTGGTATATTTAACTCATATTCTAGAATCATATTTCTCCTTGTGTTTTCTTAGTCATGCCAAAACTGTCTGTGGTTTAAATAAGTTTGGGAAAAATAATAATTTTAAGGGGAAAATTAATTATTTTGAAATTTAAGGGGAAAAAAATTATCTTTTATATTTTACTTTAATTAGTTGAAGAAGAGAAGGGGGGGGGGAATTCTTAAATAATATGCCCCTGAGTGGGAGTTCAACCCCTTCTGACCCCTGCTTTAGTGAAGCTTTATATAATGAGACATTATTTCCACCACATGAAATAAAATTGGACATCAACCTTGTTTTAACCTTTGCCTAATTCAAAAAAAGTTAAGAAAATATATGTCCATGTTAGCAATTTCACTCACCTTGCCATGATTGGATTGCATTGTATTTCTGCTAGATGAGTGATCTTCTTCAGCATTACTGGATAGATGTAAACTCTCTTTACTAGAGGAGCGACAAGAATAAGGATGTTCCCTGTATCTGGATTCATGGTGTATACTCCTACTAGAACTGGAGTCTTCTTGATAGATGTCCCTAGAGGAATGAGTATCAAGATCAATGTCTAAACTTGAATGAGATCCATAGTTAAAATCTCTACAGGAAATAGTATTTGGTTGAATATCATCATTTAATCTTGAAATGCTGTAGCCACTGTCTAGGTGGCCATCTTTGTTAAAACAAGATGGCCGGGTTGACCTCATGACAGGAACAGGCTCTAGGACTTCATAATTGCTGTATTGATGGCACAAATCCATACTCTTATTTGGATGGTCTTCCTCATTTAGCCTATGTGAATTGTAATTATCCCTACTGGGTGATCCAGGAAATATTCTTTCTCTATGATTGGATTGACGATTGTGATCAGGTTTAGGAGGTATAGATCTGGAACTCTCCACATTAAAATCACCTCTTTTTGAGCTTGGAAACTGGGATATATTCCCACCTTGTCTTCTATGGCTGGGTACTGTACTTATGCTTGAACTGTCAGCATGAAAATCTTTTCTGCTAGACCTTAAAAATGGGGACATGTTTCTTGAGGGACTTGAATCAGGGTTAGGATATTGCCAACTACTCGAATTGGATCTATGATCGATACTTCTTTCGGGACTATCATCACAAAGATCCTCTCCATAAAGGACATCACTATTGTCTCTTGAATGTAAGGATGTTGTCCTTGTAAGACTAAAATCTTGGTTCAAGTACCCAGGACTGGCATAACGATGTCGGCTAGAGATAGATCTTTCCATATTTCTTCTACTGGAACTCTCATCATGAAAATCATCTCTGATAAATTCAGAATTTACGGATAGTTCTCTTCTTGGACTTAAATGATTGCTTTTTTCACCAGGACTGAGATATCTAAGACTACTGGAACTGGATCGATGTCTAATTTTTCTACTAGGACTCTCTTCTTGAAAATCATCTCTATTTGATCCAGAGTATGAGGATATATTAGGACTAAAATCATTATTCCCATCAACAGGACTTTGATATCGGTGTCTACTTGAGCTGGATCTGTGCTTAATGCTTCTAATTGGACTTTTATCACGGAAATCGCCCCTAAAAGACGCAGAATTGGGGGATAAATTTCTTGTGGGACAATTTAGTATACCACCAGGACTGGGATATCGACGTCTACTCGAGCTTTGCTTTATACTTATACTAGGACTCTCTTCCTCAACATGTTTTCTTTTAGAACAAGTTGGACTAAAATCTTTGTGGATCCTTTCCCTGTCCCTGGACTCTCGGTATATCTCCCTTGTTGAAACAGATTCAAGATAAATTTCTCCATCCCGAGAAGGTTCATGGTAGATATCTCTTCTATACTCAGATCTTTGTATCACACTTCTAACATACCCTTCTTCAGATCTCTTGTAATGTAAACGGTAAGAAAATTCATCGTCTGGCTCTGATTGATCAATTTGATATCTGTTAGATAAAGGACTCAACTGTCCATGTCTCTCTGTCCGAACTATTCGCTCATTAACAGAGAATGAAGAAATTCTGGGAGCATTCGGGATAAAACCAGCAGAATTTCTGCCGTAACGTTCTTCAGATACCGGAGAAGGATCACATATTGATAATTCCGGCCCGATAGTTTCATAGCGTCGGAAAGGACTTTCTTCCCTATTTCTCTCTCTTCGACTCATCCTTCACTACATAAGTTGAAGAACAATTTAATATTTACGAAACATCAGCTATTTATCTAATAATGAAAAATGGAATAAAAAATACCTTTTTTAAGTTCATCAGGAATAGCCAATAAATGGTCCCTAATCCATAATACTCCTGAAAAGCATAACTAGCGTATCATACGAAATGTACACGCAAATAGTGTCATTTAGCATTTCATATATGAAAACAAAAATCCTCCCCTCTTTTTCCTCTTCTCAATTAAAATAAAATCGAGATACGTGATAATTTAAATTTTGTCAAGAGAAATCTTTAAAAGACTTGTGAGAATTTATTCATTAAATAAGCCCCTCAAGCCCCTTTAATGGAAAAATGACGGAGTAGGAAGCAAAAAATTACTATAGTGGAAAGTTAACTGTTAGAGAATACAGAAAGTGTCACTGGTAAAATAAAGTTATTTCGTCGTCAAAATATAGAAAACCGGCAACTTCATAGACTAGTTTCTGCTACACTTCGGAATTATTAACTAAATGAAACGTTTTGTTTGATTTCAGAGCTCGGCCATGTTGCTCAATGGGATTTTACGCGGCATTGAGAAATGCGTTTTGTAATTTTCTAGAATTCGTAAAACTCGTAAATATTTATGTATCTGTTTAAATTTTATGTTTTCAGCATTTCTTTTATTTATTAATAGATTATTTTTTTTATTAATCGCAATTCTGAAATTCTGAAGAACTAAATGTTCTAAAGTTCTTGAACGAAATTGTGAAAATTACGAAAATTTAAATAATCGTTTGCGGCATATTACATTATCGGGCGCTTTTCTAGTTTCGGTTTCAGAATTCAACATGTGGCTCAACGGTCGAGGTCCTTCAGCCCTTGCTCGGTTGTTCCGTGAACTAATTCCAGTGCTTTAACAACTGTTTGAAATGTTATGAATTGTTTCAGATTTCTTCCTTTCCTGTGATACATCCAGAAATTAAACAAATAGTAATGTCAAGTCCTGGTGGAACCTTCTGGGGGCTTATTGTTAAACCTAACAAGAGGTAATACTCGTTTAAATTGAGCAATATTCTAGGGGATGTGGGTAGTGTATTGGTTATCTCGAATTTCCCCAGATATAGGATAAACCTACGATTTATTAATCGTAGGTTTATCCTACGATAAAGATACTTGTCTGACGAAGTGGCCTTGTGTATAGTCGCGCGACTACTGAAATAAATCAACCGTAGCCAACTTTAGTAGAGGCCGAGATTCAAAACTTTGGAGAGTAATTAGTCTTCAGATTAACACTGTGATTTAATGTTTCATTATTTGTGCCAATATTAAAACCAAGATTCACTTTCTCATCTAGAGTGGAGTTTAATTGATTTAGTTTTGACACTTTTAACCCACAGTCTCTGGAATGGTGGGTGTTCATTTACTTACAAGAGGGGGGATGGGGATGGGGTAGTCTATTGAGTAAGATTTAAGATTTAGTGCAGTAGTTGTAAACCTCTAAAGTGAGTCAGTTATTTTTATAATAATGTTTACTAGCAATCATGATTGATTGGGGGGGGGGGG